TCTAAATTTACAAATTACTTTTCGTTCATTACGATTAAGCTTTAAAAGATATGGTTCAATATTAAACTGATATTTGAATAAGGAGTAAACTTGCCCTCGCGAGAAAGTTTGAATTGATCGCATAATCTCTGCTTAATGATAGTTTTCAAGCATTGTCTATTAATTGTACATGATATTTGATTTGATAAATGATTAAATCCAGTATTGTTTAAAATATCTCGTATATGCGTTAACCATTTAAAACTTAATACAGAATTCTGGTACAAATTATACATTAACTTATACATTACACTAGATAATTTCGATCCACCCATTATAAGCATATGCCAGAACGTAACCATTATAACACTGATTTCAATTTCTAGGGGATACCTTCCCAACTCACCATATACCATATAATTTCGGGTGCTCTTCCGAATGATTTGAATTTCCTTACAAAACTGTAAATGCATTTTTTCGATACCTTTTGTATTATCATAGCCCCAGATTTCACATTCATATAATAAAATAGGTGACACAAGTGCATCAAATAATTTCAGTTGAAAAATATAACTTTTTATCCTTTGGAAAATATAAAGAAATTAGGGAATGCAATATAAAAAGGTTTTCAGTAGTGGAATATCCCTTTCGAAATCCCGCTTGGGCGGAGGATATCAGGTTTATCTTATCAGATATAGAGGTCAATACTTTTCCCAAGCATGGCACCAGAGTTATCGCCCTATAATTATCCGGATCGCCCTGGTCTCCTTTATTTTTGTATATAGGTTTAATAAACTGTCAATTCTTGGGGTACTAACCCAGTGTTGATAATGATGTTGAAAAAATCTGTATATTCATTCCGTATTTCATCGATTCCGCTCGCTTTATTATTTTTTAAGCTTTCTATCGATCGAATAATTTCCGTTTCGGTAATTTCAGCAGTAAGATCTTCAAAGACTTCATAGTTATCAATATCTTGTAGAAGTCCTTCATTATTATCTTCCTCATAGCTAGCTGATTTTTTTAAAAATAGTTGTAGAGTTCGTTCATTGGTATATTTTTTTTATTTTTTTTTTGCGATTTTGGTTTACCCGAAAACCTATTTGTAATATTCCATAGTAATTTTGGACTCTCCTTTACTGAATCTCTTATTTTCTTTTCCATGTTGAATGTATAGGTTTTGTATGCTTTATTTACCTCTTTCCTGTAATTACGACTTTTCCTTTTCAAGGCGTGCTTGTTAACATCATTTTTTAGTTTACAATAGTTCTGTTTGCCTTTGTGAAATTCTTTTCGAAGCTTTTTACAGATTGATGTAAACCATGGTTTGTTATTTTCATGAATGTTTCTGCGGTAAATAGATTTGCGACCGAATGACTGGTTGGCGGACGTAGTAAATATATCTGTGATATTTTTAGTTACATAATAAATTTCTGTATTAGTTATTTGGTCGGTTTCCTTAGCTTTCAAATTTTTAACATACTTGTTCAGCGTAGTAAGCTTATTATCATGATCATCCGCAATGAGATTAGTAAACGAATTACTAAATTGATCCTTCCATTTCACATAACCACCGTTTTTGTCGGTTGCATAAGGATTTTCGTATAGAGTATGTATGTGTTCTGACGCCCCTTCGAACTTAAATTCAATACAATTATGAACATCGGATGATAGTGGATTAAAATCAATAACCTCAAAATATGTTACTACTTTGAATAAGTCTGCAGTTAGAAGTAAATAATCAATAAGAGACGAGCCATTACAGGTATTTTTCCCATTAAACTGATCACAACCAATTCTACCATTTGCTAAAAGTCTAGTAGATTATTACCAAAATTGTTAGTTTTAGCCTTGCATTCACTATAACGTTGTAGTGGAATGTTATATAATTCTAGTTTTTCAAAATCATACATGATTTTGTAAAGATCATCACTTTCATTTATATTCAAAACATTTGAGAATTGAATATTCTCAGTTTTAGCATTAACGTCTCCTACTCTGGTGTCATTGCTACTCAAGTTAATAATGTCAGACTCCACATCGGAGAATGCATCCGAAGAAGAATACTTGGAACTTTCGTGAGGGATATACGTACACCCTAATACAATATCATAATCTATATTTTGTAGTAGTTTCTGGGATATTCTTATCCATTGCACAAATTCAGACTCGGTAGTGATAAATTGTAACATATCTTCTAAACTCTTTTTAAAATCAATGACAATACCTCCTGATTCTTTTTTACATTTTGTTCGATTTTTTTGCAAAGTATGTGTACTCGTCTGGTAATTTAATAATATCTAAATTATCAGTTTTACTTTCCACAACTACAAGGATATCATGCTTTATCATGATTTAACTATATTGTCAAATTCTGGTAGTAACGATTTAGACATAAGTCCACATACATTTAGAAATGCAATGTTCAAGTTCTTGAGGCCAAGACCTCTCGTTACGCTTCCCTATACGCTCGTCTTTGGGATCCCTCTGGACCAGGAGGATGACGTCGGATCGGTGATGGCGTGGTTCCTCCTTGGTGCGATGGCATGTGTTGTCTTCGTGGCCAAATTTCAGCATATAACTCAAGTCTGCTTATAATAATAATATAATAATAATAATCTTTATTTTATGTCGTGTACAATTGTTAACAACAAACATAAGCTCTGTAGAGCTTTTATTACGACGCTGCTAAGGGAACAAATGGTGTTTTCGTGGTGGAGGAAAACCCAAGGGGGGGGGGGGGGGAACCACAGTGCCATCGGAGGGATAACAACTAACCCTATCAGACATCACTCTCTTAAGCTTGTTTCAACCACCGCTGGGGATAGAACCGAAATTCTCGAGAGAGTGAGTGGTCTGAAGCTCACGCTTGATTGCAGACAGTAGTACATTGACTGTGCGTGTTAATGATCACGGCTACCGAGGCTTCTGATCAATGTTATGTATAAAATTCTTAAAACTGTAGTATTTGTAAATTGTTTGCAAGAATCAATGTTAAAATGAATCAACGTTTGCCTATATTTTGACTGTTTACGTAACTTTCCGAATATGAACATTTAACTTAAATGTGGACTAAGTGAACCATGCACAGTTCTCGTCTGTCAGTAAGCCTCGCGACTGTTAACAGTGGACATTCCATTCCTCTAAGGCTTCATCGATGTACATTTTCGCTTTATTGCGCCGTTGATCGGCTTCCAGCTTTGATTTTTTCAAGCCGATGCAGTCCTCTTGCTTTGTCGATCACGTTTTAGCGTGACCATCGTCATTATATTGCACGTGTCGATACATGCTTACTACTACATGTATGTAAAATATCAAATACTTTACGGCACGTAAAAAAATAAAATTATTTTTATATTTGTTTTGTCTTTGACACGTTTCACTTCCAGCATGGGGTGCTACTAGTAACGGTTAGTAAATACCTTTTATTATTTTATTATGTAAGAAAAAAGGACATATTTATCCTGTTGATAAGAAAACAAAAAGAGCGAAGGTGAGCGGCATGGTACCTTGCACATATGTTTCCATAAAAATTGCCAAAAAAAGTTTATGGTACACACTCAAAAATGAGTAGGTATTGTAACCGGAAAACAAGTAACTTTTTTGGACTTATTATCTGTTTGCTTGATATATCATTGTAGGTATCAACGATAGTTAAACGTATGTTAGTTAGGAAATCCAGCCATTGGCCTTTTTACGGAAACAGAATCGTAATAAGACATTTGTAATCGCATGTCGTGAACAGGATTTCTTGAAATGAACGAAATGGAACAGATAAGTTAGAACCTTTCACCATGTCCTGCTAATAGGTGATCAAACTTCAGTTAAAATTAGCCATTGGCAGCAAATACTTTTCAAACTAAAAAATGATCCATACTCTCTCTCTCTCTCATTTATCCTCTTTTAATAAAGAAATTATTATAATTATAGGATTATTCATTTTGAATACGGTAAATACTTAGTGTTGTATTTTGATAAAGGTGGTGGTGCTGATGATGATGATTGAGAGGTACTTGTTTCTTGTTTTGCAAATGTAAATCCAATAAAATGTAAAATTTACGGAAACAATTCTTAATTCTTCTGTCGGCAGCGGTACAGAACAAAAAGCTATAGAGGTCGTCAAGGTCAATAATGTTTTCATTTTCACACTTTTAATGCCACAGTGATAAAAATGTACTTTAATCAACGTTATCTATAGAACACGACTTAGAGTCATGATAATTTGGTATGTTACATGAATGTCAGAGAGTATGGTGTCCGCATGGCTACGTAGATCAGCAGTGAGAATATCTTACTTAGTATTTGAATTTATTGCGTTAAGGTCTTTAGAACTGCCAACTAGCTCTTATTGAAGTTCAAAGTTCAGCTTTATGGCTCAATATAGCTTCGTTATAACCGAGGTTCTAAAACTTTGGAAGTATACATATATAGTCACATGGTGTGTAGTGCCGTAGGGTCAAAGGTAACAGGTCAAATGTAAGTACAAAGAGAAAAAGACCATGCGTTCCGGAAAGGTAAGCGTCTTTCCAGTGCTTCATCGAATCGATGACACCCAGTCTTACAAAGAAACTTCATGTAGCGACGATCGAGCCGGCCATAAAACTTGGCCATAGCCTCCAAATTTTGCAGTTGAAATTCGGATGGCCATTTTGTTAATGCGAGTATATTAGCTTTGATGATGCTATAGAATGAAACATGCTTGGTCGATATTAACTTTCAGGCCAGATAGTGTTCTTGTGATACAGGCCGTTTGTGCCACAACCAAAAATGTCAGTAAAGTCAGCAACGTGCGGTCGATCGGCATTACCATTGGGCATGCCTTTATCCCATCCCTCCATTTCCCGCAAGCCATTGCTTTGTAAATGATATCAGTATGATGATTGGAAAGACTGAAAATGTAAACAATATTCGATTTCGTTTCGCACAAAAGAACAAACTAGCCATGTGTTTAATTCCAAGATGGCGCTGCCTACGTACCATCCGGAACTCAGCTGACCTTTATACAGAAGGCATAACAAGACCCGAAGTGTTCCGGGTGGTAAACAGAGGTTTACAAAAATGGGGTCCGAACACGATGAAGTAAAACAGAGGGATCTGATGTACAGACTGATGATAAGGTATTGCGACGTAGATAACAACTTGCCGAAGTTTTGTTGTTCGAAATGTTTGTAGGAGTCATCTCCTTGCCTGGTGGTAAATTTGTGGAATATTCTTTGCTTTGCTTGATATCTGCTGTCTGCAATATCAGTGCAGTAAGCACAGATGAAGTTTTCTTAATAACGTCAACATTATCCCAGGCAATCATGGTCGCTTCCCGCACAGTTTTTCACTTACGTGTATAGCATATGTAACAGGGCTAGCAGAATGCATTGGAGCAGACAAATGTTTAAACCTAAAAACATCCAAGCGTTACTGTTAAGATTCACTATGAACAACCACAGGGTTTCGTTACTTATGTCTAAAATACACATATGCAACACTGATATTGGTCACAGCACACATAAATATACTCCTGTGTATGTGTGCTGTGACCCATATCAGTATAGCATACACATGTTTATTTATGCTGTGACCCATATCAGTATAACATGTGCATTTTAGACATTTGAAACGAACCCATGTACTCTGCTCCTATACACTCAAGAGGGTGCAGGGGTATTTATTTTACATTACTTTGTATTTAGTTGTGTTGGTGCCTGATGTAGAAGGAGTGCTAGTAAGTGAGAATGCATTGATAGAGCTGTACCTTATTGCAGTGGGTATTAATTAGGTTGGGCACAGCAGCACATATGGGTAATACTCCTGCATTTGGGTAACAATTACCCATTTGCAGTAACAATTTTATTACTCAGATGGGGAATAAAGTGAAATAAAAAACATAAGTTCTTTAAAACACTTGGAGTAAAAAGGGCGTTATTCTTTCAACTAAATCCGATAAATAACACAATGGCGTGACGTCACAGTTAAAACAATTGAAACTTACAACCAATCACAGGGTTGATAGTTCATATATACAGAATGTAACATGGGTTAATACGCCAAAAAATATGACATGGGTATATTCAATGGATAACACAGTACATTATGTGACAAAAACCTACCAAATTCTTGAATATAACAGCATAAAATGAGGAACCATAACACCCAACAAAGTCAATATTGTACTACTCCACTCTTGGCAAAGAGAGTTGAGCAATAACGATAAAAATCTCTTGTTGAAGGACACAATTGTCAATGGCTGTGAGATCACAAACTCCAATCTTTGCATTGCCCTGACTGCAGCTTTAGTTATATAAAGAGGGTATTCACAGATTTAGGGTTATTTGAGGGCATCTCACTAAAATGCTTCTGAACTACCATTGTTATAAATATATTTTGATCCAATTGATATTCTACTGCTCCTTTTCATTAAAGATAAAATTATGATATTTCAGTCAGCTGTTTTATGATGGACATCAGAAACTGGCTGTCTCACTGTCAACTCTGGTAAAGGCCCACCCAGCATGTCCTCCCTCCGACCGACTATTCAAGGTGCTCAAGTATGGCCTGGAGATTGAGGAAGGTTTGTCAACAATAGACGATTTTATCATGCTCATGCCATACAGACAGGATTTGTGGTAGCGTGAAAAATACTAATAAAAAGAAATACATATTTTTAAAATCCCTTCCATTATAATACTCAAGGATCATTTAAGTTTTTCTGTATCCATTAAAAAAATGAAGACATAGCACCTGTGTCTGTTATATATGTTTTAGAATCTATTGTACACAAGCACCATACATAACGCACAATAAAAACTTGTAGGATTTCTCTACCTACCAAGGCCTAGAATGTTTTCTCCCAGAATTCTGACCTTAGATTTGTATTGGGTTCGTTGAAGGGTAAATAAGTATATCTTTGACGAAGAGTTTTCTTGTTAATTGATCAAACTTATATAGTGTTCCTATTTAACAGTTGACTTTAAACACACATGTAGTGACATGTATGTATCAGTTATGGGACACATGTACATGATATAGTTGATTATATTTAATTTGATTGTGATCCTATGCATTAAAACTGTCCAGTTTTTGTAATATATGATTTGAATCATCATATATGAATACTCAGACATAGAGGTGATATAGTCTAATTTTCTTTTTTGCAATACATTGTATTTCCTTTACCTTGAGTGGCAATAAGGAATGCAGTAATGTTGATTTCAGGTAACTAGATATTTCTATATCTGTGAACCAGTACTTGTTAAAAGTCTTAAAACTGTCCTCACTTTCTGTTCAGAGATCCACGGGAAGGAAGTAATTGGATCAGAGAATGTAGCCCCTGGATCTGGTATAGACCTGGAGTACGAAACAGATGGTACGTACTTAAGTGTTGGACTGTTTTTGTATGGAACATAGTTCGATGCTTATATTTATGTTTTTCCGTGTTTTTGCATATTTTGAAACTTACAAGTTATATTTAGAATTTAAAACTCAACCCTTATCGACAGTCAGCACAAATTTGCTCCATAACTTAAACAGCATGTTGTCGCATGTTGATTGGCTAAGAATTGTGTCTCTTGGTCCATGTCATTTAAAGTCCCATCAACGACACAGCTTTCAAGTAGGTTAGCTAGTGAGTCGTGACAATGCAAATGTAAATTTTATTGTTTTATGAACACTATATGTTATCTTCACTTTTTCTTTGGGTTTGATAATTCATGGATATTGATCAGACTGTTGATACAGCAACCAGAAATCTATACAAGATGTTGTCGCTACACACAATGTCATTTTATCATCATAGTTTCACTTCTGAACATCAAGTATGGCAGAATAATTTTGTTGAAGGTTAAAAGTTATTATTGAAAATTCTTTGATTGATTATTGTTTTTGATTCCAGTCCAAACCATATCCCCGGAGGCGGCATTGTATGAAACGTGTTATGTTACTGCTCATAAGGGGCCATGTCGAGCAGGGGCCTTTCACAGTGGAGGTAAGTGTAGAGTGAGGCCTATCACTTTGGCAGTAAGTGTCAAGTAGGGGCCTTTCACAGTGGAGGTAAATGTAGAGTGGGGCCTATCACCTTGGCAGTAAGTGTTGATCGAGGCCTTTCACAGTGGAGGTAAGTGTAGAGTGAGGCCAATCACTTTGGCAGTAAGTGTCGAGCAGAGGCCTTTCACAGTGGAGGTAAGTGTAGAGTGTGGCCTATCACTTTGGCAGTAAGTGTCGAGCAGTGGCCTTTCACAGTGGAGGTAAGTGTAGGGTGGGGCTTATTACTTTGGCAGTAAGTATCGGTCAAGGTCTTTCACAGTGGAGGTAAGTGTAGAGTGTGGCCTATCACTTTGGCAGTAAGTGTCGATCACTGCCTTTCACAGTGGAGGTAAGTGTAGAGTGAGGCCTATCACTTTGCTTTGGCAGTAAGTGTCGATCGAGGCCTTTCACAGTGGAGGTAAGTGTAGAGTGAGGCCTATCACTTTGGCAGTAAGTGTTGATGGAGGCCTTTCACAGTGGAGGTATGTCCCTCTATTGATAGTTTGTATAAAGCTTGTCAATCCTGCTCAAAATATCAATTCCATATTTCGCTTTAGGTGGTAATTTTAATGAAGCTCACGGAAATTAAAATTTGGTGCATGATACATGAGTACTGTAGATAGACTGTCTATCAAAATACAGATGTCGGACAATGAACTATTTAAGACATTATGATATTTTTGTCTGTTTAATTTTGGCTCAGTCACTGATAAGTGCCAAATGAACCAAAATATAAATACATCGAAAATATCCCAAAACACTGTAATTATTTAATATTTCAAAATTGTCATTTCATTCTTAAGATTCAATTTCTGCTCTGACGTTTTGTGGATAATTATTTTGCTAGTAGTATAGATGATAAAACTGATAATTAAGTAGTTTTGTATGTAAGAATGAAAAATTATGTAATAAAACTATGTGTCAGTTACATACAATAGTACCTCATTTCAAGTAACCTTACCATAGCGACATACTTGCCAACTTTTTAAAATTTCCACGAAGGAGATTATGCATACTCAGAATTAAAAACATAAATAAAAGGAGTTTATGTACTCCTATGGGAAAAACAAAACTGTTAAATGGCATGTTCTGAGCTGTTTTTCAGATGAAATCTGCAAATACTAAATTTGAGGGTCCAAAATTAGGAATCTCCATCTAAATATGGAGAATTGGCAAATACAATGTATGCAGCGTCCTGTTGGACCTTGTTGTTTGTCTTTGACATTATGGCAATTAAGTCCAGTAATACACTCATCATGATCTCTACTTCACTTGATACAACACATTATTTCATCTTATTGAAGATTTTGGTGTATGAAATGAGGCATATGAAATTTAGCATAAGGCATATGAAATTTAGTTTTTATAAGATTTTAATGTTTTGTATTTAATTTGCAGGAAAGCTGATTGCCACTGGATCAGAAGATTCTTCTATCAAGGTAAGCACACCCATATATTAATAGTCATATCAAGGTAAGCACACCCACATATTAATGGTGAGATCAATGTAAGCACACTCATATATTAATGGTCAGATCAAGGTAAGCACACCCATATATTAATGGTAAGATCAAGTTAAGCACACCCATAAATTAATGGTAAGATCAAGGTAAGCACACTCATATATTAATGGTGAGCTCTAGGTAAGCACACCTATATATGAATGGTTAGTTCAAGGTAAGCACACCCATATATTAATGGTCAGATCAAGGTAAGCACACTCATATATTAATGGTCAGTTCAAGGTAAGCACGCTCATATATTAATGGTCAGATCAAGGTAAGCACACCAATATATTAATGGTGAGTTCAAGGTAAGCACACCCATATATTAATGGTCAGTTCAAGGTAAACATACCCATATATTAATGGTGAGTTCAAGGTAAGCACCATCATATATTAATAGTAAGATCAAGGTAAGCACATCCTTATATTAATGGTGAGTTCTAGATAAGCACACCCATAAATTGATGGTAAGATCAAGGTAAGCACACCCATATATCAATGGTGAACTGTTACTTACGAGCAAAGATTTGTCAATGACACCAGGAAATTGACAGTATTGAAGTATTCATTATTAAGTCTATAAAACAAAGTCAGTAAGACTTGTTGCTTTATCCTGGTATAGAGGCTTACATCTGGCACTTAAGTCGATTTAGTTTTTTTACTTTTCAAAAACTAAAAAATTAAAATTCAATATAAAGCATCTGGAAAAGTCTCACACAAGTTTTTTAAATCTCATTTACAACAAGTATAAATGATTGTCACATTGAAAAGTTTGTATTAATTTGTTGTCAGATTTTGGATGTCGAGAGGATGTTGGCTAAAAGTGCAACACCAGCTGAAATCATTGCCATGGAAACCCCTCAGCAGGCCATGGAGAACCACCCAGTCATCAGAACTCTCTATGATCATAATGATGTAAGACTGTTTACGAAAGAGAAGTCTGGAGTTACTAACATGATATTTGGAATGTTGATAATTAACATCACATATTTTATGAAAATGTTCTGTTATTGTAAATGTATTTCCTCACGTCACTGAATAACTGTATTCTGGGAAAGGTTAGTTCATGTAAAATATTTGCCCTTTCATCCTCAGTAATGAGTATCATATGGTGACTTACTTTTACAAGCACGCATAAAGATACCTTATATTTAGAAAACAAGTATCAGAGAAAGTTTATTATTCAGCAGGCTGCTGTTCACCATTACCTTAAATTTTCCCTATTCGCAGTAATTGGCATTTCTTAAAGGATAAATGCTGAGAGAGTCCTTCGAAGTCTATATATTGTTTTTTTTCCTTGTTTACAGGAGGTGACATGCCTTGATTTCCACCCGAACCATCAGATTCTGGCTTCTGGCAGCAAAGATTACAGCATCAAGTTCTTTGAATATTCCAAACCTTCGGTGAAGAAAGCATACAAGAGTATTCAGGTTGGTGATCATAATGTTTTTTGGGTTTTGTTTAATAATGAATAAGAGACATCATTAAGCATTGAACTGCTTTCAGTTGGCATTCATAGGTAATACGATTGCCAACTGGACAAAGGTAAATTGGATGAAGCGCAAGTGGATGAAGCGCAAGTGCGCTTCATGTTGGATTTACCTTTGTCCAGTAGGGATTCATATTGCTTATGATTGCCAACTGAAAGCAGTTCAATACTTATATTTACCATTTTTGGAATCTAACACTTATTATTTTTCAGCATTTACATGTAGTTCAAGTAATATTTGTAATGTACGACTGTTCAATGAATAGAGCAGCCATCGCCCGGGGAGGGTCAGCAGTATCCTACGTAACAATTGGCATCCTTAGCCTATATGAATGCCAACTGAATTTGGTAGGGTTATATAGTGGCAATACCATACAATGGTAAATATATATAGATATTTGCGTGTGTATAATAGGGTAGATTGTACGTCATTAGAAATAAAGGGTGCAAGAGTAACACCATGAGACCTGATCTAAAATGCAGTAAAATAATGCAGTCGTTGTGTCCAAATATTAACCAACAACAGAATATCTTCTGTCTGCCTTCCATTGGTGGAAATATTTTTTACAAGAATATGTCTGAGTTAATTAAGATTTCATTTGTCTCTTTCTTTTAAGATTCTAGGGAAACTGCAATGAAATGATTTGTTTTACCACTTTTTCCATATTGATAAATTCACACTTCTCCAGATCAGATTCTCTGGGACTTGTGATTTGCAAAATGTGCTTCTTAAATCTTTGATAAGTATGAAAAAGGCAGCAATTTGTTTTAGATGAAAAAGGTTTTACCTGTTTTGAAAAAGTTTCTTTTAGTCATTTCAATTTTCTCTTTTTTTTTACATCAAATATAACAATTCAAAAGCTGCCTTAATATTTCATCAGTATCAGTCATTGACTTTATGAAATCTCTGTATCAATATAATTTTGTTAGCTCTCTAGCAGCTCAACATTTAATATAGTTTTCTCTAATTACAACAGGAGGCATCAGAAGTTCGCTGTTTGTCCTTCCATCCCTCGGGAGAGTACATTCTCTGTGGTACCAAACATGCCACCTGTAAGTTCTAACACGCGCTACATTGTCATTGGTTAATTTTGATCATATTTGATTTATATCTTTTAACATTGTTTATACTAGGGCTGCAACCATATATCGCAACATTTTGAGTACCATTTTTTTTTTAAATGGCCATAGTTGTTAATAGGACGTAAAACACTAACAAACCAAACCAAACCAAACAAGTTATTGTCACTAGAGTAAAGTTACGATAAAACTGAATTTGTTTTGTTTGACATGTTGATATTGCCTTGCAGTGCGTCTGTATGATGTGAATACATTCCAGTGTTTTGTTGGTCGACACCCCAGTCATCAACATGAAGGACCACTGACAGCAGTAAGTACATTCCAGCACTGACAGCTTCCTCTGTTTTCTATTGTATTCTACTTAAATTAACACAAATTCATTCATATTATATTACTACAAGTTACTTTCAGCTATAATAGCGCAATTGTAAATCAGTGCACCAACATTATTTTTGTGTTGATCTACTTATAGAAACTGGATTATCTATAGTTGATGCTGTCTATCAGTTAGACCATCGGAGAATAACGTGTACTACCTTACTGTGATTTTTATCTCCTTCCTAAAAGATTTCCACGTGAAGACATGAAATGTGTTTTAGGAATACAGTAGTAATTTTGATTCAGTTCACAACGCATGTAAATGACACACAAGTAGGCATGAACTGATCCTGACTACATGGTTAGCTAACGCTAATAAGAAGGGGAGATAGATAATTGGTACAAAAAATAGGAATGTACTGAGTAAGGTTACATATTACCACAGTCTAATACAAATTATAGGTGTAATGTATAACATTAACTCTTACACAGATCATATGTAAAATGTGTAAGGTAGCATATACCCTTAACTCTAACACAAATCACAGGTATAACATGTAAGATAGCATATACCCTTAACTGTAATACAAATCAAAGGTATAAATTGTAAGGTAGCATATACCCTTAACTGTAATACAAAACACAGGTATAGCGTATAAGATAGCATACAACCTTAACTGTAATACAAATCAAAGGTTTAAATTGTAAGGTAGCATATAACCTTAACTCTAATCAAATCACAGGTACAACATATAAGGTAGCATATACCCTTAACTGTAATACAAATCAAAGGTATTAATTGTAAGGTAGCATATTACCTTAACTCTAACACAAATCACAAGTATAATGTGTAAGGTAGCATATAACCTTAACTCTAACACAAATCACAGGTATAACATGTAAGGTAGCATGTAACCTTAATTTTAACACAAATCACAGGTATAACATGTAAGGTACAATTATACAGTATGTAACTTGAACTGTAACACAGATTTCAGGTATACTGTGTAAGGTAGCATAAAGCCTTAACTTTAACTCAAATCAAAAGGTCTGTTATACTTAAAAAGATAATATATTTATTGTCAGGTTAAATGGTGTCCCAATGCCAACTTATTTGTGACGAGTTCTAAGGACGGTGACATTAAGATCTGGGATGGAGTAAGCAATCTTTGTATCAACACATTCAAAAAGGCACATGACGGCACCGAGGTCTGCTCTGTTACCTTCTCCAGGAACTCAAAGGTTTGTCTTAATATTAGAACTGTTTTAAAAAAAAAATGCTTTTTGAAGAAAGCTAAGACCAATTTTTGACAAGTGATGACAGTAACACTAAAAGCAAACAGATGTTTCAGTAAATTCATTGGGGGGAAAAGCCAATATATTTGGATCAGAGTTAATGGGAGATTTATACAACAGCTTAGTTTCTGTTTCATGACACCTGCTGTGTTTGATTGTTACAGTACGTGGTGTCCAGTGGTAAGGACTCGTTAGTTAAGCTGTGGGAGCTGTCCACTAACAGGTGTCTCATTGTGTACACTGGAGCTGGGGCTACTGGTAAACAACAGCACCGTACACAGGCCGTGTTCAACCACACTGAGGACTACGGTAAGTGTTAAACTATACTAACAGTAGCACCACACTCAGGCTGTGTTCAACCACACAGAGGACTACGGTAAGTGTTAAACTATACAAGCAGTAGCACCACACACAGGCCGTGTTCAACCACCCTGAGGACTACGGTAAGTGTTAAACTATACTAACAGTAGCCCCACACACAGGCCGTGTTCAACCACACAGAGGACTACGGTAAGTGTTAAACTATCCTAACAGTAGCCCCACACACAGGCCGTGTTCAACCACACAGAGGACTACGGTAAGTGTTAAACTATCCTAACAGTAGCCCCACACACAGGCCGTGTTCAACCACACTGAGGAATACGGTAAGTGTTAAACTATACTAACAGTCGCACCACACACAGGCCGTGTTCAACCACACTGAGGACTACGGTAAGTGTTAAACTATACCAACAGTAGCACCACACACAGGCCGTGTTCAACCACACCAAGGAATATGGTTAGTGTTTACAAACAGCAGCCCTGCACACTGGCCGTGTTCAACCACACTGAAGACTATGGTAGGTGTTTACAAACAGTAGCACCACACACAGGCTGTGTTTTACCACACTGAGGAATATGGTTAGTGTTTACAAACAGCAGCCCTGCACACTGGCCATGTTCAACTACACTGAAGACTATGGTAGGTGTTTACAAACAGTAGCACCACACACAGGCTGTGTTCAACCACACTGAGGAATATGGTAATTGTTTACAAACAGCAGCCCTGCACACTGGCCATGTTCAACCACACTGAAGACTATGGTAAGTGTTTACAAACAGCAGCACCGCAGACTGGCCGTGTCCAACTGCACTGAAGACTATGGTAAGTGTTTACAAACAGCAGCACCGCAGACAGGCCTTGTTCAACCACACTGAAGACTATGGTAAGTGTTTACAAACAGCAACACTGCAAACAGGCTGTGTTTAACCGCACTGAGGAATACTGTAAGTTTTTATAAACAGCAGCAATGCACACAGGCTGTGTTCAACCACACAGAGGACCACAGTAAGTGTTTACAGACAGCAGTACCGCACACAGGCTGTGTTCAACCACACTGAAGACTATGGTAAGTGTTTACAAACAGCAGCACCGCAGACAGGCCGTGTTCAACCACACTGAGGAATATTGATAGTGTTTACAAACAGCAACACTGCAAACAGGCTGTGTTTAACCGCACTGAGGACCACAGTAAGTGTTTACAGACAGCAGTACCGCACACAGGCTGTGTTCAACCACACAGAGGACCACAGTAAGTGTTTACAGACAGCAGTACAGCACACAGGCCGTGTTCAACCGCACCGAGGAATACGGTTAGTGTTTACAAACAGCAGCACTGCACACAGGCGATGTTTAACCACACCCATTACTACAGTAAGTGTTTGTAAACAGCAGCACTGGCCGTGTTTCACCACACCAAGAATTATGGAAATGTTCATAAACATCAGCACCATATAAAGCAGTGTGCCACACCAGTCAAAATAAGAAGTATTTACAAACTTAATGAAAATATATGGGATTTGGGAAAAAACACTTTTTTAATCGACAAATGATTTTCAAATAAAATTTACAACGGTTAAGGTACTGTATCTATAGATCAATTTCATACAACATTAAAAAAAATTGTATTAGTATTATGAAAGACCATAGTGATATTCCCTGTAGAACATCATATCAAATTATGTAAGCCTGGATCTAAACAAGTAGAAATAAATTATCTGTCTTCTGGCTGTCTATGTAGTTCATACTGGCATGACCCTTAGATAACGTTTGTAAAAATAACAATGTCTACTGGGTCAGACACTTAACGTCACTGTCTTACTATTTGTTTAATACTTTACTACAGTGCTGTTCCCTGACGAGGCTACAACAAGTCTGTGCTGTTGGGATTCGAGGAACGCTGAGCGGCAACGTCTGCTGTCACTAGGTAATTATTGAGGCGCACTGAGTTTTGTTACACAGATTTCCTTGAAGAGGATTTAATCCATAACAAATTAAAACTGTTTGATATATTTTACCTTTACAAAAAGTCATCAGAGGGATTAAACACAGCTGCCAAGTGACCCTGATTTTGATAACTTCACATGCTGGGTCACGATTTTGACATGGATTTTGTCAATTTCACCCATTTTCGCCGGAATTGTTTTTCGTATATTAGAAGTTACCGAAGTCACTTGGAATTCTCTAAACTTTTCCATCCCTTGTCATTAGGTAGGCAATTTATTTCCTAGCAAAAATGGACTTATTGACTTACCGGTAGTTGGCTTTAATATTTATTATAAATATTAAAGTGGAGTGAGTCGATGAGTCCATTTTTGCTAGGAAGTTTTCTAAAATGTCTGTTTATCTCAAATTACTCCTTGGATATATGCAACATACAATTACTACTTACAAAGAGGGCTCTTAGCTGCTGAGGTCAAATGTCAAGGTCATGATCACAAGGTCATTTGGATTTCAGAAAATAATCACTTTTGTTGTTGTTTTGCCCAAAGCCCTAGCAAGCTAATTCCAGCTACTTTAAAACACATTATAAGGAGTAACATTTGTTTTGAACACATGATAAGGGTCTCACAGAATTTATAGAAACATGTTTTTCTTTAAAATATAAACTTATTCTCTATTTTTCAAGGTCACAATGGTGCTGTGCGATACATAGCCCACTCTCCAACAGGTCCAGCTTTCATCACATGTAGCGAGGACTTCAGAGCACGATTCTGGTACAGGAAGGCCGACACCGACTAACCCGGCCCATTACTCATCAGTCTGGACATTCTTCATTGACGTTCATCAAAATCACGATATCAAATATTGTCATGTGGTGTTCATCACTTTCATCGATAAAATGCTTATTTGACTTTTCTTTTCATTCTGTTCACATGGAAACTCAGATATTGTGTGGACTTCGAACTTGACAACTTCATCAGTGAACTTGACAACTTCATCAGTGATCTTGACAACTTCATCAGTGAACTTGACAACTTCTGATCATTACAACTTTTCTGCATGGTGCAATTGTTCTTCAGGGTACATTGTACCTACAGGATACTAATGTAGACAATGGGCATATGAATGTTGAGGTTCCTTATGCTTAAATTATGTAATAGTTCTTCATAAATTTCCTTCATGTGTGAAGTATTACTCATTATGTATGATAAGTCCAAAGTGAAATATCTTTTTTATTATAAATGTGAAAATGTTAGTTCTGAAATGTGGTATGCTGTGTGATCATTTTGCAGAGAGGACTTGATAAAAATGTGGAGTAAAAAGACAGAAACTTTAAAGGTATAAACTCACATGCTGAAAATGTGTTTTCTGAATGTAGTTCTCTAATGCTTCTCTACGCAGAGAATTCTTTTCATAATGAGAGAGACCATTGCAACATAACTGAAAACACAATATATAAGATTACTGAAAACACAATATATAAGATTACTGAAAACACAATATATAAGATTACTGAAAAAACAAAATATCAGATTACTGAAAAAACAAAATATAAGATTACTGAAAAAACAAAATATAAGATTACTGAAAAAACAAAATATAAGATTACTGAAAAATTACTGAAAAAACAAAATAAAAGATAACGAAGTGCTCTAGACAACTTCTGACCATGTTTGATTGATGAAAGTTGCCTATAAATTATATCAAAGGGTTGTCATAATGGTTCAGTAACCACCACTATTTAAACTATTACAGCTCAGCTAATTGACTATCAATGATACCTGGGGCCTGTTCATTCCTGAACAACAACCATATTGTCAGTTTCTAAATGTTAACAATTTCGGGAATAAATCCTACGGACCTGCAAATGTTTATGTAGGCCTTGCAGGGCTTTATGAAGGCTTGTCTGAAAGCAGATAACAATTTCCAACCTTTTTTCATAAACGAACAACTCTGGTCCAACGAGTTCAATCGTTTGGATCGCAATAAGCGAAAGCAACCCTGTACATACACAAACATGTCAAAAAGTAATAATAGATCAATGTTTAGAATTTGAGTCCTGACTGTGTAAAGAAATTAGACATGTGCTGTATCAAATTTTGGATTGAATTAAATGTAGTTGATCCAAATCTTGAGTATGGATGAAAAATACCATGTGAGATATGTGTTGAAAGTATACATGTACCAAGTGTGTAATGTGTTTTATACTGTCATAAATATTGTGAAATATTCAGCGGTGTGTCTGTTACATTATTTGTTGCTGAATCTGGTTATTTGCTTCTGTGTCAAGTTGTCCTTACATATGGAGAAATTCAGGCCCAAGATCATTAAAGTGTAGCCAGGTGTAACAAACAGGTACATCACCTGTTTGTCCCCTGTGCATGTAGTTGTGCATGTAACGCAGGAAGCATAGGTTTCTTTCCCGTGTCACCTGGCTACTGTCAGTAGAGGCACTAAGACAGCACCGCTGCAATAGAGCAGACCTATAATCCTGTCAGCAAATTTACTGGTGTCCCTTCTTCGTCGGTAATAAACCTAACAAACAACAGAAGCCTTGGGAGTTAGTAAATTGTCTCTATAAATCTAAAGTTGTCTAAAGTTTAGACCTAAACAATCACAAATAACATCATGATAAGTGATGTCATACGTGATTGGCGGAGAAAAACTGATGTGATCATTCTGCTCTTTTGCACCCCTCATGTTGGGTTCTCGGGTAGCAATAATAGTGTATCCAATACTATTCATTGATAATACCACAACTGGTTTTCAATAAATTTGTATCTTGTTTTATCCCAAAACAGCTTTTTAAGGTGTTCATCTTTCCTTTTCCATTTGTTCATTTGATGACAAACATGGAATTCCTGGGGTCATTTTAAAGAAACAGATGCACTTTTTACACTTCCTAAGGATTTTTGGCATGTAGATTAAAGTTAAAATATCAATATTTTTTAAAAAGATGCTCTGTATAGAATAGTATATAAAGTTAATTTATGTTACAACAGCTATGAGAAAAGTTGCATCAACTTCTATTAATCACTTTTGTTGGCGGAGATGGGAACACGCAGGAGGTTTAAATGTGGTAGAAAACTGGAGTTGCCAGAGAAAATCCCACATGGTCGGGAAGATGACTCCATACTTGGTCGGGAAGATGACTCCATACCTGGTCGAGGAAGATGACTCCATTACCTGGTCGAGAAGGTGACTCCATACCTGTCAAGGTAACTTCCTAACTAGTCTGGAAGGTGACTCCATACCTGGTCGGGAAGGTTACTCCATACCTGTCAAGGTAACTTCATAACTAGTCTGGAAGGTGACTCCATACCTGGTCGGGAAGGTGACTCCATACCTGTCAAGGTAACTTCCTAACTAGTCTGGAAGGTGACTCCATACCTGGTCGGGAAGGCGCCTCCATACCTGTCAAGGTAACTTCAAAACAAGTCTGGAAGGTCGCTCCATACCTGGTCGGGAAGGTGACTCCATACCTGGTCGGGAATGTGCCTCCATCCCTGGTCGGGAAGATGACTCCATACCTGGTCGGGAAGATAGATGGGAACACGCAGGAGGTTTAAATGTGGTAGAAAACTGGAGTTGCCAGAGAAAATCCCACATGGTCGGGAAGATGGCTCCATACTTGGTCGGGAAGATGACTCCATACTTGGTCGGGAAGATGACTCCATACCTGGTCGAGGAAGGTGCCTCTATACTGGTCGGGAATGTGACTCCATACCTGGTCGAGGAAGGTGACTCCTTACTTGGTCGGTAAGGTGACTACATACCTGTCAAGGTAACTTCATACCTAGTCTGGAAGGTGACTCCATACCTGGTCGGGAAGGTTACTCCATACCTGTCAAGGTAACTTCATAACTAGTCTGGAAGGTGACTCAATACGTGGTCGAGAAGGTGACTCCATACCTGTCAAGGTAACTTCCTAACTAGTCTGGAAGGTGACTCCATACCTGGTCGGGAAGGCGCCTCCATACCTGTCAAGGTAACTTCAAAACAAGTCTGGAAGATGACTCCATACCTGGTCGGGAAGATGACTCCATACCTGGTCGAGGAAGATGACTCCATTACCTGGTCGAGAAGGTGACTCCATACCTGTCAAGGTAACTTCATAACTAGTCTGGAAGGTGACTCCATACCTGGTCGGGAAGGCGACTCCATACCTGTCAAGGTAACTTCAAAACAAGTCTGGAAGGTGACTCCATACCTGGTCGGGAAGGTGACTCCATACCTGTCAAGGAAACTTCAAAACAAGTCTGGAAGGTCGCTCCATACCTGGTCGGGGAGGTGACTCCATACCTGTCAAGGAAACTTCAAAACAAGTCTGGAAGATGACTCCATACCTCCTCGGGAAGGAGACTCCATACCTGGACGGGAAGATGACTCCATCCCTGGTCGGGAAGATGAGTCCATACCTGGTCGGGAAGCTGAATCCATACCTGGGCGGGAAGGGGACTCCATACTTGGTCGGGAAGGTGACTCCATCCCTGTCAAGGTAACTTCATAACTAGTCTGGAAGGTGACTCAATACGTGGTCGTGAAGGTGACTCCAAACCTGGTCGGGAAGGTGACTCGATACCTGGTCGGGAAGATGACTC